GGCTGGGCATGTCGGCGGGTGGTGAGCAATTGTAGAGTGTATCGCTTGCTTTGTATTACTATTGTACTATTATTACTTGTTTTTATTATTATTGTTATTATTACTATTACTACTGTTCTATTTTAATTTTACTTTAGTTGTTAAACTGTTCTTATCTCAACCCACAAGCTTTCCCCTTTTGCCCTTCCGATCCTCTCCCCCGTCCCACCGGTGGGGGAGTGAGTGAGCGGCTGCGTGGTGCTTAGTTGCCGGCTCGGGTTAAACCATGACACCCATTGATAAGATCTCCCTGAACTTTCTCTCCTCCAGGCTCAGCTCTCACAGCCTTTCTTCCTAGGAGAGATGCTCCAGTCATTGCATCGTCTTGGCGGCCCTTCGTTGGACATGCTCCAGTGTGTCATGTCTCTCCTGCACTGGGGAGCCCATCAACTGGACACAGCACTCCTTGAGTGGCCTTGTCGGCACCGAGGGGCAGGATCACCTCCCTCAACCTCCTCCAACACTCCTCATGCAGCACCTTTAGCCCTCTTAGCCCCAAGGGCACACGTTGGTGGCTCACAGTCAACGTGGTGCTCACCAGGACCCCCAGGTCTTCTGCTGAGCTGCTTTCCAATCTGGAGGCCCCCAGCATGTCCTGGTTCCTGGGGATGTTCTCCCCAGGGGCAGGACTTTGTGCTTCCCCTGGTTGAACAAAATGGACTTGGAATTGGCTCTCAGCACCCAGCCAGTATGGAGCAGACCCTACCCAAACCTGCTGCTGGGAACAAGGCATGGGCAGAGGGCGACAAGGAGCAAGTTAACAGCCACAGTGCCCACGGGTCGTGGCACCTGGAGCAGGGACCAGACTCTGTCACTTCCGCTCCACCTCCCAACAGCCATACCTACACCTGGTGTGGGATGAGGAGTCATCTCCAGCCCTGCATGTGTCTTGGATGAACCGATCCGTGCCTCCTTCGCTGTGCCCAGGACCGGGCAAGAGCACAGAGCGCAGCGCAGTCGCACCACACCGCCATGGCCAGGAGGGAACAGAGCACACATGCCAACGGGGAAGCATCACCTTCTTTAATTAAAAATAAAAATACAAGAGAAGTACAGCCTGCCATGTGGATGCTGGAGGTCAGCTCTGGGCTGGGCAGGGGACGGGCTGTCCTCTGCCGTGGACTCCTCTCCACCAAGGCTGGGGCAAAGCCCTGCTCTTTGTGCTGAGCCTCCAGAACACGCTGCAACACCCTGCCAAGCTGGGCAGCCCTCAGTGAGCCCTTGCTCCGCCACGGGGGGTTGGCTCCTCTGCCCAGAGCTGTGCAAATTCAAAAGGAACAATCCCAGAGGGACCTGCAAGAGCCCAGAGCTCTCCTTGCCCTCTTCTTCCTCACTCGCCACCCCCCTGCAGGCTGGGAAGCAGATGTGGCGCTAGCATGAAGAGGACAGTCCTCATGACACAGATCCAGCAGCCCAGGCCAGGACGGGCAGCAGCACCAGCAGACAGGAGCCGAGGGAGCCTTGGGAAAGGCACAGCAGGAAGTGTATTTACAGATGGAGAATGTTTTAATTTAGCATTTCTGTCCCAACAACAAAGCTGACGGTTTTTCACCAAAATGCGATGGTGTCCACAGGGCGCAGGCAGCCAGCCAGCCCCTGCAGTGAGCCCCCAGGCCTCGTCACGCTCGTCGTGCCTTCTTGCTCTTCTTTTTCTCCTCTTTGACAGCAGTGTCGTGGGCTTTCCTCTTTGCAGCGAGTTTGTTCGCCTGTGGAGAAACCCCCGAGACCCACAGTCAGGCCGGTCTGCAGGCACCGAGGGCTGCTCTGCCCTTGGTCCCACCAAACCCTCCAGCTGTACGTGGGGGAGATGGACCCATCTGCTGCTGGCACCCCTGCCAGGTGTGGGGCACAGAGCGGCAGCAGCTTCACTTGCTGAGCACAAGCCATGGCCCCGAGGGAGCACGAGGAGCTCTGCCCTGCCAGGGTCGAGATCGCAGCCTGGTGATGCCGGGGAAGAGGCTTGCAGAGCCTCACCCTTGCCCACCCTTGCTCAGTGCCCTCACCAGGTACAGAGAGGAGCAGAAGGAGCAGCCCAGAGCAGGCACAGTATTGGAAGCAGAGGTTGCTCCCTCTCCCCCAAGATGGGGACAGACCCGGCTTTAGCAATCCATAGCTGCAAGCCGATTTAGGAAGAGCTAGCACCAGGATCCAGGCAAGGGTCCTTGGCACAGAGCAGCCTTGTGCTTGTACCTCTCGGACTTTGCGCTTCTTGCCAAACATGATCTTCTTGTAGAGGTATTTCTCCCTTTTCTTCATCATCATGATAGCCAGGCGCTTCTCCTCGCTTTGCTGCTCCTGCTCCAGGCGCTGCTTGTCCTCCAGCCGCAGCTTGCCAGCGGTCACCTTCACGGGAAGTGCCTGCGGGGAGCCAGAGAGCTCAGGACGCCAGATGCCGGGAGCCCACCACCCTTCCCCAGGGACAGACGTTTCCACACTGTTCACTGGGGGCCACGGAAGAGCCGCAGCACCCTCCGGGACCAAGCAACAGGTCCTGAGCGTGAATGGGAGCTGCAGCTCACGAACACAGGTCCAGCGCCCAGAAGCATGGTGGCTGCCGCAGGAGCAGCACAGCCACAGGGGTCCCAGAACAGGAACTCGGCCAGGACGCCCCGCAGCGAGCAGAGCCCCAGCAGGGACAGAGATCATCAGAGTTGCCTCCTCCTGGGGCTCCAGCCCACTGCTGGGAACCGTACCTTGTTGCTCTGAGTCTTCTGCTCTTCCATTTTCTTTAATTTCATCTCCTCTTCCTTTTCAGACTCCTCCTCCTCCTCCTCCCCCTCTTCTTTGTCATTGTCGTCCTCCTCTTCCTCCTCTTCTTCATCCTCCTCCTCCTCACTCTCTTCATCTACAGAAAGACCAGTTACCAACAGGAGAGCAGCCACTGGCCCCGGAGCAGGTACAGCCCTGCCGAGGCAGCAGTGCTGCTGCTCTCCTCCTCCGTCCTCGCGTCACCTGGGTTCTCGCCCCTCTGCATGGCCAGCAGCTTCAGCTTCTCAGGAGGGACGTAGTCTCCTTCCTGCTCCGTCACGAAGGGCGAGAGGTGCGGGGGCAGCAGCACGCCAGGGAAATAGTCGGCCACGGGGAGGCAGAGCTTGGCATTGACGGAGTCGAAGACCCACTGAGGCTGCAGGTAGTACCTGTGGGGCAGAGGGACACGGGGTCAGACTCCCTCCTACCACCCCAGGCTCTGGAGCCCAGGGGGCTGCAAGGGAGCAGACAGAGTGTGGGACAACTCTGGGATGGCCAGGGACACCCGCTAGCCCAGGTGGCCATTCTGGGGACAGGCCACCTGCCTCACCCACCTGCCAACAACCTGCTGCTCCACCCGGGGCCGGTCAACAATCTGGTGGGTGATGGAGGGATCGCTCACATCATAGGTGGCACTGATGCACAGGGACTTGTCCCAGGAGACCTGGCCACCAAAGCACCTGCCAGCAGAACCCACCGAGGAGTCAGACAGGCAGGAGGGGCCCTGAGGGTCACCTCACCCATGGGACATCAGGCAGACTGGCCAAGAGAGAGGCTGGGGGAGGCCAGCGTGGGGTAGCAGGGCTGCCAAGGGACAGACTGCCCACCACGTACCGGATGATGAAGGCCAGCGGCTCTCGAGGCACCTCCCTGTTGAGGAAGAAGCGCAGCCCTTCAAACAGCTTTTTGTGCTTCTCCAGGGCCTCCTGCTCCTTCTTCCTCGCGTCCATCTGCTCCGCCGTCTCCTGCTCAGAGCAAAGCATTCAGCCTCCTCCCCACGAACAGCCCCTGCCAAGCCCCTCTCTGCAAGGAGGGCTCTTGGACACTGCCCCCAACCTCCTGCCAGTCCCTCCCAGCACCACACCAGGCTCTTACCCCCTCCACCGGGAACTCATCCATCTCCACCTCGTCCTCGTGGGTCGGTGCCACCACACGGGCCAGGCTGGCGCTCAGAGCCGACAGTTTCTGCAGTGGGAAGAGACCAAGAAAGCGTCATGCCCAGCTGGTGCTTTGGGGATGGGAAAAGTAGCAGCCTCACGGAGGAAGGAGAAGGTGAGTTCTCAGAGCAAGAGGTCAGAAGATCTCCTCCCAGGACTAGACAGACATTCAGCCTCCTCCATGTACTGCCCCATCCTGCAGTCCCCAGCACTGGGGCTTTGGAGGGTCCCTCGCCATGCAGGGGGGAGGCCAGTGGCCCCCGAGGCCAAGCACAGGCTCCTCCCTTGGCCAACATGAGGGGACAAGGAGTTTGGGACCAGTCCTCTCTGCCACGGCAAGGATCAGGCTCTGCTCCTCAGCCCCCACACGCCAAGTGCCCCATGCCAGGAGGGGTCTGCAGTCAGGACACTAAGGCCACGCAGGGTCCTCCCACGGGCCGCGGCGACGGCAGCATCCCTTACCTCCAGGTAGCTCTCCGAATCCATGGCGTACTCCTTGCCCTCTGCAGGCTTCAGCTCAGTGTCAGCCTGGCCGTTGATCTGAGAAGAAACATTAAGGCGGGGAGGGAGCTCCCAACCCCAGAGCCCCCAAACATCCCCCCCCTCCACCATGTCCTCGCTTCCCACCACCCACACCAGGTGGTCCCACCAGGCTCAGGCCAGCGCGGCACATCCCCAGCGCAGGCAGTGGCCTCACCTTGGGGGGGTAGAGCAGGTTGAGGGACTGGTAGAGGCGAAAGTTGACAAAGCCCAGGAGGGTGGTGTAAAACTCAGTGAAGGTGGCCATCACACGGTAATCCACGTCCGTGGGGTGCTGCAGGCACACGGGAAGGATGAGGACACGAGGACAAAGGGCCAGAGTCCCCTCTGCAGGGACAGGGTCCCGTCCCACCCGCACAGGGAGGAGGACCCTTCACAGCAAGGGAGACCTTCACAGCAAGGTCTGAAGGTCCAAGGACACTGCCAGGCCCTGGGGAGGGAGAGCTCCCCAGGCTGCTACACGGGGCCCTGCTGCCACCCCTCCGTGAAGGGACCTGCTGGGACAGATGAAGCACCCCACCCCATCATGGATGGGGACCTTGGTGGCTTGGTCCAGGGACTCTGCTCCTCCAAGTGAGATGTGCAGGCCATGGCAAAGCAGAACAAGAACAGGGCAAAGAGCCAAAACCCGGCAGGGACCCAGCCACCGCACAACAGTCAGAACTCAAGGGAGTGAGAAGCAATGTTGGCTGGGAAGGACATGGGTTGGCCGAGGAGATGCTGCATGTACCAAAGGCCACAAAGCTGGAAAGCCTCAACTCAGCTGTGGTGCCAAGCCCTGAAAAGCCCCAGACTGAAATGAGAGGGCACGGCTGTGCCGATGAACTCTAGCATGCCAAGATCCTGGCAAGGCACAGCACAGCCACGCGGCTCTCCCGGCACAGTGGCACCCGCAGCTCTCCCCTTGCCCTGCCACCCGCCTGGACGGCAAAGGGATGCAGCAGAACCACCCTGGCAGAGGGTGCACTGTCTGACTCATCTCTTCTCTCAGCGCCACCAGCATAATTCCTGCAGGTTAATCTTTAATTGCTGATTAAGGCACATTTTAATAATTTACAACAGGAAATAAGGAACTGGGGGGGACTGGTACAGCCAGGTACAGGGGACATGGGTACAGCCATGCTGGGGGTAGAAGACGGTTGTGACCCGCAAGCCTTCCCAGCCGGGCCTCGTGGTCTCCACCAGAGGCTGAGCACAGCCTCGCCTGCCTCTGCAGCGCCAGAGCCACAGGACAGTCCCTCAACCCTTCCCCAGCCACAGGGAAGGGAGCAGCAAGGCAGTGCGGGTCCGCACGGATCCTGCTGCGCTCTTCCCAGGTACTCACATCATGGGCAAAGGTGTAAGGGGTGATCCAGGTGACGGGCTGCCCCAGCACCTCGGCCTGGTAGTAGATGCCCTTGATGGAGAGGAAGACCTGGCAGGGAGCAGTGCGAGGGTTCAGGGGGAGGAAGGCCACAGGTGCTCCTTTGTCCCCATCCTCGTTAACCCTTCCCCCGTCAGCAGATTCATCATGGGAGCATCACAGACGGCCTGGCAGGACTCGCTCCCCACCTAAAGCTGCCAGCACAGCTGGCTCTGTGCCCTCCTGGGGCACAAGTCCACCACCTCCGCGGCCCACCCCGGGGCAGGGAAGGTCTTGGCCCCGTCCCTCCCCGCAGCGCCCACCTTGCGCAAGGAGCGGGAGGCGATGACATAGTTGAGGAACTCCACGGCCAGGCGCCGGCAGAGCTGGATGGTCTGGACGTGGCACTTGCCCGTCCGCGGGAAGGTAGAGAAGAGGAAGCACATAGAGAGGGCATCGTCCAGGTCTCGCAGCGCGTCTATGAAGGTTGGGTACCTATGCCCGGGCAGGAGGAGAAGGGGGAATCACACCCAGCCCCAGCGTCCACCCAAAAGCTGCTGGGGCTGGTGGAGACCTTGCAAGAGAAAGGACTGGGCACCGTGGAGCACTCATCTCCTGCATGTCCCACCACAGCTGGTGACCCACAGGGACGGGGTGTCCCTCCTGGGCACACAGGGACCTCCAAGCAGCTCCCCGGGGCTCAGGGCTCTCTGGGGAGCCAGGAAGCTCCCTGGGTGAGGGGACGGCAACATCCCTGATTACAGGGTGGGAGTAAACAGGTTTTAGGGCACCCACAAGGACAGAGTGTTGGGGAATCCCAGCCTGGACCCACCAACAACAAGCGTGCCTGTGGCCTGCGGTGCAGCACACAGCACTCCCTGGCCAGACGGACGAGGCCCAGACAAAAGCTGCAGGACTCAAACGCTGCGGCTGGCAGGAGATGGCACAGCCCTGCAGCTCGAGCAGCTGCCAGGCGCCCACTCCCCTCCCGAGCACAGAGCTTGTTGGGGCAGCGTCTGTGTCTCGGTGCCGTTTCTCTCTCCCCTCTCCGCACCAGCGCAGCGAGGTCCCAGGCACCGCCGGGATAACAAAGAGACCCGCCAGAGCAGGTTCCCTCCCTTCTGGGTCCTCTCCTCTCTCATTGTCACCAACTCACCAACTCCGTTGGCATGATTCACCCTCCACCAGCCCTCCCTCCAAGGAAAACACTGCTCAGGGAGAGGAGGAGAGCTCTCAGTGTCTTCCTAGAGATCCTGGAGCCATCTACACCGGCCAAGCACTCCCTGCTCGCTCATGCTTTGCCACAGCCAGCGTGCAGCACGCTACAGCTGTCTCCTCCAGCCCAGAAACACCAGTTTCCATCAAAACCCCCAGAATTGCTGTAGGAGGTGGATTCCTAAAGAGGGACGGACACGGCAAAGGCTCCACGGGTCCAGGTGGCTGCAGGAAAAGCTCCTCCCAAGAGGCCAACTCTGCTGGGACTCCGCCGGTGACTCACCTCTCCTTCACAATGTGGTCGAGCTTGTAGCTAGGCTTGTTGTCCTTCAGCCGGTCTACGGTGCTCCACTCGCTCTTCCCGTATGCCTTCCGGAGCTTCCGGACAAATACCTGCCAGGAGAGGGAGAGGCCGGGGGCTCTGCGGGAGAGAAGGAGCCCCGAGCGGCCCCTTGGGCAGCACCCCAGGGGTCTGCCGCAGGATAATTACCTTATACTCCCGGAACTTGTTGACGATGGGCTCATGAAGGAGAAATTTGATATCCTTGAGGAGGTAGAAAGTCCTGGCTGCCGTGGAGCCTTTGTTCACCTTCTTCTTGTGCTTGGGCTCGTGGGGGTAAATCCCCTTCAGGATGCAGAGGCGCCTGGTAACAGTGACAAGGGTGAGACCCGAAGGCCAAAACGCCCCAGGGCCCCTTTCCCCCACCCCTTGAGGGGGGGGGGAAAAAAAAACCAGAACTCGTCAGCCTGAAATCCCAGAATACACAGGACACGCTGCCACGCTCCCTACGGAAAGGGCCACCCCACGCACCCGCCACGGGCTCGATCCCCTGCTGCAACCCCGGACGGGGTCTGGGGGGTCCCTGGGGGCGTCCCCACGGGGTACCTGAAGTCGGGCAGGCTCAGCTGCAGCTTCTTCCGCGCCCGGTTGCGGGTGATGTAGTTGGTGGCAGATCCCCGCTCGTACTGGGGAGAAACGGGGGAGTCAGGGGGGAGCCCCGCGAACGGGAGGGGCAGCCCCGGAGCCACCGGGGGCTGGAGAGCGAGGAGGAGGAACGGGAACCGGCGGGGGGAGGAGGCAGAATGGGGCACGGCCAGCTGGGGCGGGGGGAAAGGACACCGAGTGTCACGGCGTG